TTATTCTAGTAACAGTAACTTTGGAGCGAATTCCTCTATAGATATATATATATATATATTTTTTTTTCATTACGGATGCAGCAGTGCTCCACCAGGTGCCATCTCTATAGATTCTAGGTTTAACTCTGCCTTGCTCTCTACTTCCATATCTTTGTCTTTTCTTGCTCATTTTTGCTGTTTCCTACAGGAGTTTACTGGTTATTGCAAATGATGCATTCACAGACTCATAGAAAATATTAGAAAAAGCTGGTAAAATGCGTATTGAACCCCTTGAATATTTAGTTTAACATTTGGTTAACGCCATGTAATGGTGTCATTCGGGAAATCAACTCATACAAGGACATTAACATTTTGTCACGAAATGAACTTATGTGACATGAACGTGAATGACAAAGGGATTAACTATTGAACACAGAAAAGATGTACAAGCTATGTAGAAAGTCAAGGAACTAAGCGATATCCTATTGCTATTGCATATAAAAAAGCGTTCACTCAAAAAGAGACGTTCACAAAAAGTCTTGCTGTTGAACAACTAACTAATGATGAAGTTACCAGTGCCTTGAACTTTTGAAGTGTCCACTATGGGAGCTACCATCAATAAGTATATATAATGTAATTTCTCTATGAACAAGCCATAGTCAGGGGCCTCTTGTCAGTTTTCTTAATGAGGAACCCAGAGATTACTCAAAATCTGTGTCAAAAAGTCATGGAGCGAGTTTGCTTTGGTGGCGCAGTGCTTAGTGCACAAGACGCTTGTACCTCGACGTGGCCGACTTGGGTTCGAATCCTGACTTTGCTGCTGGTCTCTCCATCTCTCTCATACCCCCTTTCCTGTCAGCCTGCTGTCCAAAAAAAAAGCCACTAGTGCTGAAAAAACACTTAAAGAAAAGAAAAAGAGGGTAGAGCGCTTGCAGGGAGTTTTAGAAATGAATGGAAAGAGAAGAGGAAGTTAATTCCATGAAAATAATTGGAATATATTTAGAGACAAAAAACATTGGAAAACCCTTTACTTATTTTACAAGCTGTATAAATCTGGCTCTCTTAAAAAGACAAAGAAAACCAATAACAGTAGGACAACAGAATTTCAGACTGGGTGTTGAAGCATTTTTCTAATTTTTTTATGTAATTAAATGATCTGATTAGATTCTAGGTGGGGGATGCATGGTGATGGGGTTTGTAGCCCTGTTGCCTTGTTACATGAGGGTCCTGGGTTCCAATTCCAGCCTAGGGTCTCTCTGCATGGTGTTTGCATGTTGTCCTCATTCATGCATGGATTCTCCCTGAGTACACA